AGATGACTTCCTGGTGGAGATGGCTTTTAAGAATGTGTATGGTGCTGTCAGACTAAAAAGAATGAGTAGCTGTCTAGGTTGATGGAAAATCATAAGCAAAGGCAAAGGAGTATAAATAGTAATGAGTCTTTCAGAGTTGAGGTATATACTAGGAAGGGGTAGTAGAGACAAGATAGATAGATCATGAGGATGCCAACTCAACTCAAATGCCGACTCATTCAGAAAGCAGTGAACCATACGAGGTTGGATATGAAGTGGTGTGGGTGACTGAGTTACAATGACCCATCTGCCCCAAGTGCTAGGAAAACAACTTGTAACTAACTTTGTTAGCGTGAAGAGTGAATTAAAGAAATTAGGGATTGAAATGAGTCCGGTTAACAAAGTATCATAATAGCTCGAATGAAAGATGAGGATTTAAATCAAGATAGTGAAAAACATGATGGGGAGAAATAAAAGTGATATATGCTATTTGTGATAGTAGAAATGATAGTAGTTGATGACTAATTAGATAAAGTATGTAAGAGTCAAAGATGATACCACAGTTTCTAGTAGGACATCTCCTCAGAGTGGTGAAAAACCTTCTGAGGGGAAAGGTTATGTCAGGTAACTTAGATTTTATTTCCAAATCTGCCACAAGTTAGCTATGTGGCATTTTTTACTACTGTTTCCTCAACTATCAAAACACAATTAAGAACTTGATTTGTAGGCTAACTTTTGATTTTAGAATTCTGTGATTCTATTTGACTAAACTCTTGCCATGGCTTCTTGCAGCTTTAAACTTAGCAGAATATACCAAGAAGATACTTTTACATTCTTAAAGACTATTCTCTCCATTTAGATGAATTTAATTAATTTTTGCTATTTAGTAGATGCGTAGAGCTGAGAAGGAAATTCAGAGGTCTTTTCCTTACTTTTACTTAGGAGCAAATTCTGTGTGTTTGAATATTCAGAGAGAAGTATTAGAGACATTAGCTTTGTCTTTCCTTCACAACTTATTCCCATTAATAACAGGACTTTTTATCAGAAAATTTGCTTAAGCTGAGCTGTTTAGAATGTATCTATTTCAAAGTCTGTTGGTTCTGCTCTGATTAGAAAAGAAAAATGATATTTGATATTAAATTAATTCCTTATTTATTCATTAAAAATATATTGAGAGCCTATTCATTTTAAAGCACTCCTAAATATAGAGAGCAAGCTGATGGTTACCAGAGAGGAAGTGGGGTCGGATGGGTGAAATAGGTGATGCGGATTAAGAGTGTACTTATTTTGATGAGCCCTCAGTATTGTATAGGATTGTTGAATCACTATATTGTATGCCTAAAATACTAAATATGACCTTGTACATTAAAAAATAATTACAAGAAATTTTTTTAAATTAAAAAATAAGATTGAAAGGTAAAGTTAAAAAAAAAATTAGGGCGCTCTTATAGCCAATATAGTAGCCTAAGAAACAATCCATGCTCTCAGAGTTTGCAATCTAATTTGGAAAAGACAGCACATTAATTAACAACACACGACAGAATTTATGGCACGGTTAGGTGTTTTGTTCAATAAGCATTCTCCGGAAGAAGATAATCATTGTAAGTGGGGATGGCTAGAGAAGGTCAGCCGGTAGCTGGATCTTTTAGGACTTGGGGAGAGACAAAGAGATGGTCCATTAATGAGCAATTTCAACCAGAAAAGGTGTCTTCTTTCAATTCCCCATGTATTTAGCAATTGAAAAGATTCTGGGGGATAAGAAGCAGCAACTTGTGGTTGTAAAGAAATATGTATTTATTCTCTTTTTTTTTTATTTATTTATGATAGTCACACACACACACAGAGAGAGAGAGAGAGAGAGAGAGAGAGAGAGAGAGAGGGAGGCAGAGACACAGGCAGAGGGAGAAGCAGGCTCCATGCACCGGGAGCCCGACGTGGGATTCGATCCCGGGTCTCCAGGCTCGCGCCCTGGGCCAAAGGCAGGCGCCAAACCGCTGTGCCACCCAGGGATCCCAAAATATGTATTTATTCTCTAAAAGGACAGAGTGATAAACTGAGGGTCACCGGAAATTCCTAATTACCAAGCCCAATGTATTTGTTCAGCATTCTTTCAACTGTAGTTATCTGAATCTTTTGATTGAATTGACCATTCTGTACTTTTTGAAACTTTCTTTCTTTGCCTTCTAGTTGTTTATTTTTTTTTTCTACCTTAATCTTTTCTCTTTCAATGAGTTTGGTTTTTCTCCCTACCCACCAGGAGCCCTGGCCTCAGCTTTTTACTTGTTTCAATAAATATACTCTCAATGGTTAATGCCATGGTCCTATGATGTTAAATACTATCGGAATATATTTGCATCAGTCTCAAATCTATGTCTCCAGCCCTGACTTCCTGTGTTTCATTTCCTCATTTCCAATGGACCTTCTCATAGTCACATCCATATATAACTTTTATATGACAATACGTATCTAAAGGCTAGCTCAAGATCTTCTCAAAATTGGATCCGCCTTGTTATCTAGAAATAGCAAGTACTGCCAGGTTCTAAACATGCAGACGTGTAATCCTGAAGCCATTTTGATTCCATCACCCAGAGATTCAACTGGTTGTTAAGAAATCATGTTGCTAATTTCATCACTGTCACCACCCTAGGACAAGCTTTTTGTCACTTCACACCTGAGTAACTACAATGACTTCCAGTTGGTCTCTCAAAGTCTGGTTTTCCCCCACAGAAATCATGGTAGTATAACATGACACAAACTCTTTGGTCTGGTGCTTTACATCCTCCATCAGCTGGCTTCAACTTAAATGTCCAGCTTCATTTCCCATGTATTCCCTCCTAGGACCCTCTGATTCAGGCGAATCCTTTACTCACCATCCTCTGAATAGATTTCACAATTTCCTTTGTTGGCTCACACATTCCTCTGCTAGAAAATTCTTCCTTGCTTCTCTATACCCATTGAAAATATACTTAGCTTATGTTTCACCTCTGTCATGAAGCTTTTTCTGAATACTCACCCCATAGCATCTCTCCCACTTTGGGGATGTGAAATAATTACAGTTCCTACCATTTGTTGCGTATTTATCACATATTTCTCTTATTGTTCTTTGTTAGTCTCATCTCCCAAACTAAATAATAACCATGTCTTAAATTTCCTGGCCCATCTTCCACCACAAGTGCACCAATGGTGTATAGAGAAGACTCTCAGTGAAAGCTTATTTATTTGTTGACTGACTACACATGAACAACTATAAGCAATAGTAAGTAGTATCAGAAAAAGAGACCTTAAAGCCACATGAAAGCACATTCAGAATTGATTTTTGAATCTTTTGAACAGAAATAAATTTTATTAATATCATTTTAGACTTCAAGTGTATAAACCACTAGCAAATTGTCACGTTGTGGGATAAATTACTTTTGTGACACTCTGAATGCCTAATGAAGTTAATAAGAATTATGATTTATTTATGCTTGAAGTTGAAATGTAACATTTATCTTAAAAAAAAACACGAAGCCATTTCTGATCCCATGAGTTGGGACATTATAGAAAGTATCTAATTTATGCTATTTCTTCATTATTATGCTTTTACATGTAATTATTTTGTCTTGTCTCTATGTTATATGGTACAACATAGACTATTAAACATGGACATAGTCTTAAGAAACGATTAGTGTGATTTATTTATTTTTCAGGTGGGGAAACTAAGTTCCAAAGAGAATAATTGACATGCCCAAGGTCACGATCTAGTGATTGCCAGAGCTATACCTGAAAAGTAGGATTAATCTTTCCTAACTCTATACCTTTTCCCTAATTCCACATTGCGCAGTTTCATCTTTGTACCCTACACTGACATTTTCAAATGAAAGAAAAATTACAACAATTGTTCATTATTTCTCTTATTTTACACCCAACAAAGTGAATTAGTGCCTTGTAAGTTATTAATAAGAACATTCTAAATAGAAGCACAGCATGAGCAGTTTATTATGATGTGTATCAACACAAGGGAGATTGGACTATCATCTGAATTATTCACATTTCTAAAACTTCATAACACTGTGACTTTTTTCTCATTGGTGAGTTGCGTGGAAATAGCTATGCAATTTGTTTTGTTTTGTTTTGTTTTGTTTTGTTTGGAGAGATAACCTGATATGGGGCACTAGGTTAACATCTGTACTGGCCGTGTGAAGGATTGTTTGTAACACCAAAAATAATTAGCCTTATCCAGGAAAAGAGAGATAAACATAGTGAGTCAATGTACATTTGCACTGGTGATGCGGGACTTTGAGGGAAGATGCCGTGCAGTTTTGGGGGAGGAACATGGAATGCCACCACTGTCCTGAAATCCCACTCCACAGCAGGAGCAGAGTAGAAGATAACACTGCTTACTGCTTTCCTACTGTAATTTTTTGAGCTTCATTAAAAAGAAGTGAAATTGTCTCTTCTCTCTAAACCTTCTGCCTGGAAGACATTATTTAGAGGAGGGAGCAAGAATTAAAAGTGCAGAAAGAATAAAAAGGAGCTCAGGTGTTCAATTTTTGTGAGGAATGTTCACGGAAATTTGGTTTGTCTTCCTGAAAAAAACATTTACAGTCTAAATTACAGCATATCATTTGAATTCTCAATGACTAATATCAAGTGGTAGCCAGGAGAGGCTTATTACATTCTAATTTTGTGATTATTTATGCAGTCTTTTAAAATAAAAATCACTACCAAAAATTTGCCCAACCCCTGCTCTGAAAAAATGTCTACATCCAGTTCGGTTTTCTCAACTTTCACAGGCCAATCAGGGGTTTAAGAATGAAAGGTACACTTGCTGAAGAAAACTAAAAAATAAATAAATAAAGTAAAATAAAATGAAATTAAGGGAACTCCGATCTGAGACCAAAACAGGAGACTTGGAATGCCTGACTCAATTGCTAAGTCTTGGAGGGACCCGTGTGCCTAGGCCTGTGTTTCTCTTCCTCACCCCCCGGGGCCACAGGACATGGGGCAGGTACAACCTCGATGTAGTAGACACCACTTACCTGTACCATTGTTAACTGTGGTCTGGATCGTGGCTTCAGGCCCCATAGTGTCATAGTCTTCCTTCATTTCTTCTGTGGGGGAAAATTATCGTTAGCATTTGAAAACTGTAGAAAGGCTTACTATACTAAGCATGCCAACCACAGGAACAAGGAAGATTCTTTTAAAGGAAACAGAGAAAAGGCTTGTTGTAAACCGCTAAACAATAGCTTTGTTCAGGCAATTGAATGAATCCAATAGTGCTAGCTACACAAGAACTTATTTACTTTAAGCATTACTGCAAGCTGTGAAAAACAGAGGTGCTTATTTGGGACAAACGGAGGGCTTTTCTTCTGGTGGCAGTTCTAGTGACAAACAGGGGGAAAGATATTATTTTTTCAATACGAGTCAAAAGCAACTAAGTATTTGTATTTAGGAAGAGGCAGGCTAGCTGCTGTGCCTCGGGTAACTCTGGATGATTAGTGGCCAGTCAGATTTTCACGCTTTTTCCCCCTTGGAGTAGCTACGATGGAGCTAGTCTATGCAGGCATATATTTTTTTTTTAAACCTAACTCTATATATAAAAACTTGAAGGCTCAGTTTATAAAACAAGGATCCCGGAGGTATTTGAAAACAACAACAACAACAAAAACAAAAACAAAAAAACACCTGTTTCACTGTTTTATATAAACTTCTAAAACATACCTTCCTTAGGCCTGTCCCTACCGCTCCGTAAATCTCTCTCCTCCTTATCATTTATGCTCCAGCATAAGTGTAATTGTAGTCATTTTCTGAAGAAAGACACATAGACGTAACGAGAGCTCAAGGTGGCAACAAAGATGGAAATATGTAACACTGGGGTTGAAGATTCATAGGTGATAAAAGGCTCTTTTCCAAAAATTGCCATATTTTAAATTAAGGAGAGTTTGAAAAACAGGAGAGATCTTAAATTTTCTGCCTCCCACATTATAGAGTGTGTGAGAGGGCAGAGAAGGGCAGCCGACAGGTAAAAATGCTCCAGGCAAGTCAACTAAACACAGGCTTTTTACAAAATTGTATTTTTACAATAACAAAACTAATGAGAACCAAACACAATCCAGGATAAACATCTCTCTGATCATCATTTTACTTAAAACGAGAGAAACTTTATATAAATAGGACTCTGTAAATTCCCAAATTTATCCTGACCATCCTTTGCTTATCGCATTCTAGTCATAATTATCTGGGAGAAAAGCAGGTTCTAGCAAATGTTACAGCAAAATTAAAATATATGATTTACAAGTAGTAGCCTGCCGCCTATCTGTGTATATTATCAGAACTAAAAAAGCATGGGCCTTTTAAGGTAAAATGCCCCGATATAAATAGACGCTAATTTAATGCTACTACCCATAACAGTCAGATGATTTGAGTGGTATTTGTTTAAACTGCACAACCACTACAAGTCTGTTTCTGGCCCTGGACTTCTCTCTTACTTAAGGAATATTTTCACGGGGCCGTTTTGCATAAAACATTTAGAAGTTCAATATATGGCAATATTGTATTGTCAATTGTAATAATCGATTGGTTGAAAAGCTCCCTCATCTGATATTTTTTATCAGTCTCTGGGAGGAATTAAATTAAGGTATTTCTGAGAAGTTCAGTACTGGCTATAAATATAGCTTTTGTGTCTTTCTTCCTCACTCATCTCATGTGATTTCTGGTAGCCAAGAGTCAGAAGAATCATAAGTTTTCCATCTGAGAGATCAAGTCACTGAGGGGAAAACAGTTAACAGCAATTTTTTTTTTTGCATAATAGTGGTAATGTTTAAGATTTCTGCTGCACTTCCTTCCTCATTGCCATTTTCTTATGAAAAAGTAAAGAGAAGTTACAGTAGGTGGTTGCTTCCCAAATTATTAAATGCCAGGCATACAAATGTATAGGTGGCACTTGGTGTGCCTCACACTCTGTAGTAATACTTGAGCTATAACCCTCTTTTACCAAAGATTATGCAACTGAAATGGTATCACTTTTACCTAGAGTGTACTTTGCTTCCATTTACTGAGTGCCGACCTTTCCTTTCTTTGAATATTAGGCTCAATTTAATAAAATGAAACACTAATCCCGTTCAGGTATGTGTGTGAAATACCATGTGTATATGCCTATTTAATTAAGTTTCCCTGCGAATCCATTTCCAGAAAGACATGATAATATGCAGGTTAAGAACATCTCCCCTGAATTAAAGGCAATCCTGGCTGTCGTTTTGCTTCTCGCCTAACCTTAAACATTTTCCAAGACACCTCTGACTCAGCATACAGTGTCTAAAACCACATAGTATATTTGTTTTTAAAACACTTGTAAAAGTTTGCATTTTCCAGTCACCCTTGGGATGAAGGTTTGTAAAAATAAAGAGCACTTTCTTCCTTAAGATGAAGAATCCTTGAATAAGCAGAAAGAGGCCAAGATGCAGGTGATTTATTTAAGTCTGTGTCAATGATAATGATGTCATGGTTTCCAGCACACTGTGTCCACCCCATTGTGGGACGAAAGAATGTCAAGGACAATTCTAAACACAAAACTTTGATTGTGCTGGAACCGGAAAGGCACAGTAAGAGCTCCACTGCGCTCTTCAGTTGAAAACCTGCATCCTGCAGACAAACTACAGAAAGCATGCGAGAAAGAGCAAAGGAGAGGGGGCTTATCTCAGAGTCAAGCTATGTGCTGAGGTATGATGGTAGACAGCCAGGCACCAGGGATAAAACACTACTAAATAAAACAGCACCAGAATTAGAATTATTGTCTATAGTGTGTGTTTTGAACAATAAATAAGAAAAATATTTTATCAGAAGAAAAATGTGTTATCTAAGAGTCAGGATAAACAATGAGTAGCTTTTTAAGACCAATTTCTTTTCATTAGACATCAAGGCACCACATCAGAGCACTTTTGGAACAATAAAAAAAAGAACAATAAATCATTACTAATCATTAGAACTAGACAGGTAATAGCCGGGTAACTTTCTTGGTCCAAGTAGCCAAATGAGATTAGGGATTTACATTTTATTTAATTATTGTGACTCCAGAATGCTAGTTTATTTACCATAAAGGTAAGAGCAAAGAACAGCCTGTTCATTTGTATCACAGGCACCATTAACTACAGGTGATAACAGGGTCTGTAATGCACTCATATGGATTATTGTATATTAAAACATTTAGAATTATGATCCATGACCAGCACAAAAAGCTGCCATGATCACAAACTACTACAGCTCGACATTACTGTTTTGGCTGTTTTTCAATTATTGATCTTAAGTTTTTAAAATTAAACTTTTTTTTTTTAGAAGTTTGGAGCCGTACATTTGTTATATCGTTATTAATTATTCCTTTAAGGGTGGAAATTCTAGTAATTGGTCCTTACCCTTGATTTCTAGATATTAAAATTTAAAGCATCAGAACATTCATTCTTATAGCCCTGCATATCTAGTTCATTAACAAATATGAATAGCTAACACCAGCTCATTTAAATAGTATGTCTTACATGAGTTCTCGCCACACTCTGTTTCTGTCACACTGCTCCCAAGAATCATTGGCTCTTATTATACATGTAAATGGCTATCATAAAAATAAAAATTTCATTTAAGATTGTTAATGACTTCTGCAGCAGTCAGACTTCCTTTAATGATCATCCTCTGCCCCTAATTAAACGTATTTATCTTTCAAGCATCTTTGGCTGAGTTCTCCCTCATAGTTGAAAATCTAAAACCTTAAGTCTTAATGGATATAACGATAAATGTTTATGTGTGGGATTGCTGAGATCCGAGAAACCTCCACCGAAAGCAAAATTGGAAACAGAAAGAATACAAAACTTGGCACAGTAATTTAGGAAAACGAGAAACAAATACACTACACTCAAACTGCCATGGGTCTTTTTTCTCTCTTTTTTTTTTCACATTTAATTTTCTTTAGGAGTGGAAGTGCTTTTATTATCCTCCTTCCAGTATACCGAACAATTACCCTGCCTAGGTTCGATGCTTTACAGTCTGCGACATCACAATGGCATATAGGTAGACTCTTGCGCTTACTTATTTCCCTTCCCACCCACTTCACCTATTTATAAAAATGCTATTGTTATTTATATCGTCAGAGGAAAAAAAAAAACCCAAAGTGGGATAAATCATGACAGCTCTCATTGGGTCTTGGGACTAGAGATTTAAGGAGACACTATGGTTTGAACTGGAAGAGTCAATAACATTTCTTTTTTTTTTTTTTTTTTTTTTTTTTGGCCAGCCACCTCACCAAGTATAGAGGAGCACAGGGAGTCTATGGGAATCTGATTCATTCTCTTCGATTTGGTTAATCATTTCATACCTCAGTGACGTTCCGTCCTCAGTGAATTTTAGACCAAGGCATTTCCATATGCAGAGTGGCATCTGAAGTTTTGGTCTGAACATAATTTACCTTATTTTTATGATAGTTGGCCCTGGATCCGTTTTACCTCCCCAGAGAGTCCCACCAAACAGCACGAATCATTATCAAGTACTTAACTGTTAAATAGTAAGGAAGCTACCTGACCAGGTGAAAGTGTGAAATCACATTCACACTTAACAAAGGGGAATGATTAGATGGTTGAATTACAATAGAAGGTGTCAGACAGACACTGAAACTACATGCAGTGGGCAGTCACTTGGTCTGCATTGTTATAGGACTTCCACACAAGACTTTCATATACAGGTTACTTGTGAGTCTCCCCCCACTGCTTCCATTTTCTCCCTGAAAGCCTGGAGCTCGACCCTAGTTCACGTTCAACCTGCACCCACTGAAACACCATCTCTCCCTACGACCATCACTTCTTTGGTGGCCCTCTTCTGCAAAGAAATATGTTTAATTATTCGGTCGTGGACGTTCCCCTAGGCAGGAAGGAATAGCTGAAGATGGCCCGGGAGGGGGCCAAGCAGTTGTAGACACTTACCTGGACCGTCTACAGAGGCTTGCAGAATGTCGTTGCCGTGCCAGGTGTGCTCCACTCCACCCTCCCTCATGTCATCTTCCTCTTCTTCTCTTGGCAACAGAGCTTGGCTCACGTGTGGGGAGGACTCATGGTTGGGCACGCTAGCTGGACTCCTCTCCTGGTCCAGGGGGTTAGCAATCCCGTCCTCCTCAGCAATTTGAAGCTTGTCCTCCTCATCTGTTTCTGAACCCGTGTCCACTACATTGTCATAGTTCACCA